AATAGATTTTAACTAGAAGTATCATCTCATGGAATATTTTTCCTTACCTGGTCTGATTCTATGTATTTTAGCAGCTGCAATTGAGTAAGTGGAGCCAGAGCCCTGAGACCATTATCATCTAAATGGATCACCAAAAAAATACCTTCTTGGATCTCAGAGCTTCAAATATGGATCACTGTTTGAGAACTTCTGGTTTTAAAGTTTTAAACTGGTCTGACTTACCAGTCTTACGAATGGCTCCCTAACAGTATTTTCCATTTATTTGCAACATACAATACACTCAGGCAGTGTTTAACCAAGACAGATGCAGACGTGCTTCCCTGAACTATTGACCAAAATCAGGACTGGCATATTATTGCTGAGTTGATACTTTATTTCACTCTTTTAAGATAAACAAATTAGTTCCTTCCTTTTCCTGCATGTAGATTGATCCTGAGATTGATTCTGTATTTCATATTTAAAACTTCATAAAATAATGCATTTTAAGAGCTCTGAATCATATGCACACTCAATCAAAATGTGCTGCATAATGCATTTTCTTTCACATTAAAAGTGGTTATGGGATTTAATCCTAATACAAAAGCAAACTGTCAGTGCACCAAATCAGAAAATACCATAGTAACTGAACTTGTGATTTGAATGTGTCTGCTGAAACAAAACATTGGTTGCATACTAATTTATTACTTCTCTTTGCACGGCACAATGAATCTTTTTCAAATGAATGCCTGTCAAAAGAACTTTACTGTAAGAATCATGTAACCAGCATAACTGATGTATTACTATTCAGGATATTTAAGAATGAAAAATCAGCACAAGTATCCTGGTCATTGGTTCTTAGAATAAGTTATGATAACTCTTTAGAAAAAAAGGGATCTAGGTGTCCCTGCTGGAGCAGAGGGGTTGGACTAGATGGTCTCTAGAGGTCCCTTCCAACCTTAACCATTCTGTGATTCTGTGATCTAATTATATAGCACAAATTAAACAGAATACTGAATTTCCCTCCTCAAAATATTGATTTACTCTAGTGTAGACCACAAATATATTTAACTCGTAAGTTTATTTTATAATTAATCTGTTAATGGTTCCTATAAACATGTCAACGAAAAAATCCTTATACTGATTCATTTCCATTTAAAAATGCAATTAAATGATACAGAGAACACTTAAGAATTTTTATTTTTATAAGCAACAGTAAATTCTTAGGTGTTCAGTTTTGTGACACAGCAAACCAAAATTGGGTCACGGAAAAAAGGAGTGCTTTGTTATAGAACACTTATAAAGCTTCATGTCTCAGAGTATCATATAGATGTTCTCACAATGCTGGAGGCCAGTTTGGATGGATCAGCGCACACATTTTGATGGCATTCTCGAGAAGATGATAAGAAAGAGAAGCAGTTGCATTTTTCAGACAAAGAGTATTCAGCCTAATGCCACATTAAAATGGGGAGGTGGAGAAATACATCAAACTGCTTCCTGACCTGGAACTAATTTAACAGCATAAGTTTTAGAAGCCTTATTTCTAATTTTAAAATACATCAGGAACTTAGACTTCTCATTACTTCACACAAAACTGATGAAAAACAATTTCTTATCCTCATGGTTTTTTAGATTAGAAGAAATTTAGTATAATGTAATCTTACCTATCAAGTATAGAAAATTTAACACATAATTATGAGAATACTATTCAAAAAGTATTCCTAATGTACCAGCAATATGCTTTCTTTTTTTTTTTTTTTTTTTTTTTTTTTTTTTTTTTTTTTTTTTTTTTTTTTTTTTTTTTTTTTTTTTTTTTGCTTTCGTCGTTTCATTAGAATGATGCAGTTATGACTATCCAACCACCAAATTCTGGATTTCCCTATTAAAGGATGTCTGCCTGGGTCTTTCATACATTAGTCTGTCACATAGCCCTAGAACAGCATCACCATTGAAAGATTTCAAGTACTGAAAACATTGAGGTTTTGCTAATGTTAGTTTTATCTGTCCTAATTCGTATTTGTCAGGACAGGTGGTTTTAACACAGCCTAAGTTTTGGTAAAAAATTTCTTTTTTTTTTCCTTTTTTTGAGGCAGAATTTACAGCTTTGCATGCTTAAATCACCATGCTTCATTTACATCTGCTTCCATGAAAGCAGAATATGAAGAAATATGAAGACAGAGAAGAATTCAAGAAATTTTTAAAGGCTAGCTGAAGAACACTGGTATATTATAGGGAATTAAACAGATCAGCACTGCTTAAAAGCTGCAAACAAAATGACTAAGGACTTAATTCTAGACCACATAATAAAATAGTTGATAATGGTAATGGATAATCAGAAATTAAATAGGCAACAACATTAATATGAGCTGACAGTAAAAAAAAATCTGCCTGCAACTTAACTAGTTTTGATCAATATAACACACCCATACATATATAGATATATATATATTGCACAATTTTGGTAAGAAGTGAAGTCCATAATAGACTAAATTCTCATACTGACCTGAGCCAGATTTTAACAATCTGTGAATGTATTTTGTGCATTATACTCACTCACTACACACTGGAAAGCTTCTGGGAGGTGAGTGCAAGTGTGAGGGAAAGTTAAGTTAAAGAAGATGCGAAGATGATGATGCGAGTCTCTTGGCTGACAGTAGAACTAGTTAGGCTCACAAATCCTTTTCCTCAGAACCCAAAGGTAGGCAAACAGTAACATAAGTGCAAGGTAGGGATATAGTGTCAGCATCCTGGGGTAACATGCAGAAATACCTTAGGCTTCTGAAAGAGATGAAGCCTCCTAGAGCTTGCTGCCATAACCATAGAACAGTGGAGAGGCAAGTTTGACTAAGCAATAATCAATGAAATCACTCCTCTGCCTCTGAACTGTAGACCTAAATCTGTCCTCTGTTCCCTGTGTGTGATGTGTTATACGGAAAAAGAGACAATGGTTGGTTCTACAGCAGAGCTAGTTAATGTGAGCTAATCACCACCACAGCCATTCACCTTCTCAGCGAGCAGCTTGAAAAGCATAATTAAAGTGGCAGTGCTGGTGTGTGCAGCCCTCGGCCACTCATTCCCACTACTTGTATTCTTCCCAGTTGTGCCAAAGCAAGTGTCTGCCTACTTCACAGGGAAGGTGGCTGAGGAATTGATCTGGATTTAACTTTTCTTTTTTTGCTTCATTATTTTTTTCCAGGCTAGTTCTTAACTTAGCAAATTACGTGACCATAAAGAAAAACAAACAAGTCCCTACTTCCCCAAACTCTAATGATAACAACAACAAAAAACAAATTCCTCCATAGAATCAACAAAGTGGCAGAGCTGAACAGAGGCAAGGACAAATATTCATAGTGAGTAGCATAACAAGCTGAGAAGATAACAGGCCATTAAAAAGTACTTGTTACTAACAGTCTTCCAGGCAGAACTGTTAGTCATTAAAGGAGGCTTTTCATTTTTTCCCCTATTGTAAGAAATCCATTTAGTCTAATCACAGATAGAACTAGTCCACGTACATCCTCAACACATTTCCCTCAACTGCCATTTGGCCATGAAAACATTTGCTGGAACACAAGGTACCAATCAGCTTGTACTTGGCTTCACAGACTGTGCAGTGCATGGGAAAAATAAACTACATGAAAATTCGTTAATTCTGTAAAGTCAAGCATAGCCCTTCAGTCCAAGTAGACATTGTACACTGTAGTGGAAGGATGAATGAGAAGGAGCATTAAGAAGCTCACAACATTTTCCTGATTGGGATGGTAAGCACTGCCTGAAACCAGTTGTTCCCAGCTCACCACAGGTAGGTGGGCATGCGTCCCTCTTACCTCATTAGTCATTCAGAATGGGAGATGTGCATCATTAGCCAGGCACTAATGTGTTCCTAAACTGCACTCATTCATCATTAGCTGGCAGTGCGAGGTAGATCAAGTCACTTGTGGGACACGTCTGTGACCCTCCCATGAATTGTCTATTTTCTACATGACTTATTTAAGAAATCCTCTCAAAAGCTGTTTTAACAGTTTTAGTAACTGTTATGTTAAGCAAGATGATTTTTGCAGTCAAGTGAGTCGCAGAGAAATCTCTGTCATATTCACATATTATGTTGTTTATTCTGAACATAACATTTTGGTATTATCCCTTCCATTCTGTATAAAGCATATCTTTGAACCTTTTTTTTTTATTTTTTTTTTTAAATGACATTTTTGATGAACTAATACCACAAAACACCACTTGGGATCTAGTGCTCTACACACTGATGGCTCTTCATTTGAGATGTGCACAGGTTTCAATAAGGGTTAGTTATAATGCATGTGTGTGAGAGAGTTACCCTGAGATCATTCATGCAATATCTAAGGTAGACTTATAGCTCATTTCTGAGTTGGATATTTCTATCAAGAATCATTTTAAACACAACAGCATCATCGGTTTGCCAGCAGCTTAATTTCTGCCTCCACTGGATGTTCACAATGAAGACATTCTTAGTAATAATTTGGTGGACCAAAGACAACTAAAATCCATAATATGAATCAGTACACTCCGTGCTAATTATGTTTTAGGAGGCTTATTGTATAAAAATACTTCTTAATAAAATATACAGCTATAAAAACATTATGACAGATTGGAAATTAAATACATTGCCAATGCATAAGCTGCCCAAAATTCTAGTTAAAAAAACTTCTGTTACGGAAGTTTTAGAGAGACGATTTTTATCTACTCCTAAACCTGTGAGTTTTTTGCCAGCTTATAATCATTTGTAAAAATATTAGCTTAATAGAAGTTAGAGACAGAAACGACATAAAAAATGATTCAGTTTATCCACTAAGCAGTTATTTTGATAGAAGACGTTAGATACTCATATCCTCTTAATAAAATTAGATTCGTTGTTTAAAAACTAAAATAATTTTTTTTGTTGTTGCTTTGCCCTATCATATGGATAGGGAAATCCTAGAAAGAAAGAGCCAAGTGCTCTCAGGTCAACATACTGAACTATGACAGATGACTACTGAACCAAATGACAGATTTACCTGATTTGTCAGAGGGAAGAGAAGTGCTTCTGCTTTCATTATCCAGAATAACAGCTAACCCTTCAGAGAGAGACGGGAGGATGCTGCTGCTGAGATCCACACGAGTTAGACTTTCAGGTTCTCTTTTCAAGCCTTTTAGACTACCTCCAGCACGGTTATCTTCATCCTTTCTCTGACTGCTCTGCTGTGGACTCTGAACAATATGAACAACACTCTGCTGCGGCAGGTCACAACTCTGAAACACAAAACCAAAATCCCAATAAATAATTAATTGTGACATAAGGGACAAAATCCCTCTATCTCCAATTTGTTATTTGTTAAATTGTCTCCAAGCCATTTCATGCAGAATTTCACTGTGCAGTAATGGAGTTTAAAGGAAAGTGACAAGTGCAAATTGCTGGAATTAGGATTACTTGCATTGGCACAAGGGTCACAACACTTACAAATCCTAAACATTTAACAAGGAAATGGTGGATCAAAGCCAAGAGCTCTACATAAGCCTAATCTATTGGCCAAAAGAAAAAAAAAAAAAAAGAAAAAGAAAAATTTCAGATAGATGACTTATTAATAAGTCAAATGTTAAAAATACTTAATGCATAAAATACATATGTACAGATAATGCTAATTCACACTCTTGATATCCCAATTTAGGGTCTAATTTGACGGTCACAGGGATTTATGATCAAGTTACCAGAAGTGTCTTTGTAAACAGAAACAGAGACAATGCTTTTGATGAACACCAATACTTTTTCTTTGTGTGTACTGTAGTTTTCAGTCTACATCTGGCATTAGCTGTACACTCAGTATGACTTCTCCATTTTTTCCACAGATCATACTCAGTTGTTATCTTGAGATTAAAGGGAACTTACAGAAGGCATCAAGATTGTTATAGTCTCTTGTGGCAAAACAAAAGAATTGTTGCCTGTTAGCCCAAGAGATCTCACTTAAATGCAGTAACCTCTTTCTCAGTTATCATCAGAGATAGTTCTTTTTCAGTCAGTCTCTCCAGGTATTAGAAAAGAAGGCTGAATAAGGATTTTATCAAAGGTCTACCCAGGAAAAATCAAGATAGAGGGCAATTTTCTCCACCAAATTTCAAACATAAAATGGGAAAGCAAAACATTATCTTAGAATAGAAATTATGGGAGTTTCATTGCCCCAGTTCTGTGGTTCATAAGACTCCCAAACATTTGCTCTTTGCTTAGTTTATGTGTTTTCATTTTTTTCTCATCTGGGTGATGAAACAGTCTCTGTTTTGAGATATCTTGCTTATCATTGATGAAGGGCTTTTTAGAAAGGTTTGTAGCGATCCTTCCGTAGAGTGTCATTAACATTATTGTTTTGGGGTGATACCTTCTGGAGATCCATACTCATTCTCCATTGTAATGAGTGAACCATATATAAGTATCACACAACACAGAGAGAAGCTTGAATATCACAAAAAGAAGTTTGATTACGTTAAAAATAATTTTCCACCTCTTCTCAGCATCTTTAGGTTGGTCACATCTACACGGAAACAGCATGACAGACTGAATGTTTACATTTTGAAAGAAAAAGAATTCAAAATCATTTGTACCAGTATCTTAATATTTTGAGCTTGCCTTTGCCATTATTAAATGCACTTTTAATTGAAAAAGATTCCTTTACAGACATTTAAGTGTTGTTTCTACCCTTGTCATTGGCATACTTGATGGCTTCCTCCCTCTTCTACCACATTCTCTCCCTGAGTCTGGTAATTTCTATTTAGTGATTTTACTTCAGACGTTCTTCTGCACTACTTCTAATCACTTTCATGCATGCTCATTATTTTTTATGTAGTAGATTTCTAAAATTAAAAAAAAAAGAATTTTTAATAACACATTCTTGCCCTAGTGAAGCCATAAATCATTCAGTAAAGGTTTACCAGGTAAAGGACTTTGCAAATTTAATATTCAAACAATGTAGTTATTAGCTTTGAGCTTAAAAACATTGTGTTAACATTAAAGGTCTACATTCTGTATAACTCACTATTCATTACATTTTAACAACATCCATTTAAACAGCTTAATAATTTAATTCATTAACACAAAATCCAAACCTGAATTATTACTCCAAACACTTCCCAAGCAAAAATACTGCAAAACATTAACATAGATTAATAACAAAATTAGTAAGGTAGGAGAATGAAAAACTTGAATGTTATTTGCTTGGTTTTGGCTAGGATTACAAAGGGAAATAGGCATATATGTAAAAATTTGCAACCTTGAAACCCCCTAGTCAAATGCCAATACATCAAAACATGTTTTAAGGAGCATCTCTTCTGCTAGTTCTGCGTGCTTTAATCTCTACCCATCCTAGCTCTTTATATTTCTTGAACTTCTCAGATTTGTTTTTTTAAGTTGGGATCAGTTCCCTGATTCAGTTCCCTGCTGGGTGCCACAAACACTGCTGCAGTCAGAACTGGGGGGCTGCTGCAGACATGAGCCCAAGGACAGCGGTGAGAGCTGTGGAGGCCTTTGTAGGGGCCAAGTAAGTGCCCCATCCATTGCATTTTTCAGGCATTCTTGCTTGGGATTGACTGCTTCAAAATGTACATTTGGTTCATGGTTTAAATCAACTGATGTTTGAAAGGCTTAGGGTCCTGTCCAATTCTGTTGCAGCTAAGTGGTTAGTTTACAAATAAAGCAAGAGCTGACAAAATAAGGGCCTGTCTTTTCTGGTATTTCCTCTTTGATATTATTTACCAACCATCATATATAATTCTCAGATAATTCAAATACAGACATAAACCTTGCATTTGGGGCAATTATATACCCAAGAAAAATACTTAATCCTGGCTTTTACTTTGCATAGTTTTCATTTTAAAAAGAGAGGTCTGTTTTTATATTAATCTTGGAGTTTATCTTCCTTACACTTCTTTATCAGAAACAAGAATAAATTATAGATTAAAAAAAAATCTTTTTTTTTGAACTATTAAGCAAATCACTGCAGTAACAAGCATGGAAATCTAAATCAGTTTTTGCATTTCTGACTGCATTTGAACTGAATTTAACCTGTATTTCAGATAGTGAAACGTTCCATATTTTCTCAAGAAAAGGGAGAAAGAAGTGCAAGAAAAAGAAATTGTGATCATATCCTAATTGTGAAGAAAGTTGGATTAGAATCTCTCCAAATAGATTTGTTTGTAAGTATTGTGGGAGAAATGTGGTGATTAATGTTTCCTATCAGACTATGTTTTACAGGCAGCAGATAGGCTAGGTCCACAGCTTTCCTCACTGAGAGAAAAGGTAGAAGTCAAACTATTTCAGTAATTTTTTTTTAGGTTTTGCCTTAGGTTACTATTGTAACACCAATATAAGATACAATTGTTTATGTCAATGCCACTTTCATTTCCTTCATGTGTTTGCTTTATGCCTCAGGAAATATTTCTTTGGAGAATATCTATTATTAATGATTTCAGAGATATTGTCTTGTCTTATCTGCTGATCCAAATTAATGCCTGTGATCCATATTCCAAAGGGAAATACTGCAAGTGTATATATTGTAGGTTTTGAAATATCTCCTTTCCTTAGAATAAAGGTTGCTGAGAAGATCCAAACATGATGGAAACCCAGTATTAAAGGTTGGTTCTTTTCACAGAATGGTTTTGGGCCAGCTTGGAAAAATAAATTAATAACAGATAAATTTCAAACTTTTCTTCCCCCAAAAGCCTTTGTTTTCATATTCTTTCCTGATTTTGCAAGCTGAGCTTCAGAAGACCAAGTCAACACATCATGAATGAATACTCCTCTTTGGTGCTGCCAGCTGCAGGCAAACTAGAAGCTACTTGAGGTAAAGCCATTTGGAGTAAGTGAAATAAAGTAAAGAGAGCAAAAAGAAGCAGGGTAACTGCAACTAGCAAAATCGGTTGCAGTCACCCTGAAATCCTCTTATTCTGGGGGATTTCTGCTTGACATAGCTAACAACTTATTTGATAGTGACAGCAATACTGAAAGAAGTGTTGTCCATCTAGCAAATAAACAACCCAGAAGAGAAGTCATAAAATTTTCTGAAGTTTATTTCTGAAATGTCATACTTAAAGAAACACTAAAGGATTTGTGTTTGGGAAGCGGAGCTTAAACCAAATGAAACTAGGAGGAACTCCATTTCAAATTTGGATCAATTTTAAAAGTGTCAGCTCTTTTTGATCCCGTAATTCATACTGAAAACTGAAAATCCTGTAAAAGCAGAACAGGTTATATGTTGTGGGGTGGAATGTATGAAACCTGTCTGAGTCAATAGCCTCTACTTTGATGAAAATCATCAAATAGAGGAATAGTCAATGGTATTCAAATAAGCAGGTCTTATGAAATATGTCCACACCATTCACTGCAGCACACATGCGACATGCGAAACAATTGGTACCAAGAGGAGGAAAAACAGCCTCTCACCTCACTGGCAGAGAGGACATATCTTTTTCATTGACTGTGTACACTGCATTCCTCATTTGTGGTTTTACTTCAACTCTGCTCCCTCTAATCTTCCTAAACTAAACACAAAGCAGTGGCAGAGGAGAGTTTTTATCTCTCTTCCTCTGCTTATTAGAGGTCGAGTGGAGAATTTTTTTAACGATCCCTTTGGACCACTTAACTGAATGATTCCCTTCCTCCCTCTATTTGAGCACTTGAGTTCACAGAGGATTCTAAGTGTTTCACCTCGAGTTTTGGATATTCCACAAGGTTAGAGAAGAAGTCAGGTCCTTCAAGGAAAATCTCAAAAATAAATCCGTCAGWGRWAAAAAAAAAAAAAAAAAAAAGTTTTCTCAAWRAAAAAMARAMAAAAATAATTTTAACGATTAACAATTTTAGAAAAAGAAGGAGAAGCAACAAGGGAGAGCCTTTGTACAGAGATCTAAGAAAAGAGCCTATTATGTTCAGAGCCTGCAAAAAACAAATGAAATGCCAGCCAACCATCTCATTTCCTATGTCAAATAAAAGCCATGAAAAAGTATTTGTAGATTTATTTCCATGGGGTTTAGAGTAAACTCATCCCAGTTTTGATTTCTTCATAAAACAGAGGTGAAAGAGGCAAATTTGAATTTTTAAAGCTTGAGAAAAAATAGTAATTTAAAAAAGGCTAAGTTTTATGTTTTGTCTTTTTTTTTTCCCTAGAAGAAGAAATCAAAATATTTTCACTCCATGTAAAACACCACAAGCTCAAAATCAGAATCATAAAATCGCAGAATCATTATAGTTGGAGAAGACTTCAAGATCATCA